TACTGCCTTTCGCACTCTCTTGTTGACTATAAAGACCACACCATTTTTTCTATGGGATTCCTGGCCACAGTAGTAGATATAATGGTTTTCTGAGTTAAATTTGCCCATTCCTGTCCACTTAGTTCACTGATTCCCAAGATGTCAATGTTCAGTCTTGCCATCTCGTTTTTGACCACGTCAAGCTTACCTTGATTCATAGATCTTACATTCCAGGTTCCTATGTAGTATTGTTCTTTGCAGCATCGGACTTTCCTTTCACCATCAGACACATCCACAGCTGAGCGTCCTTTTGGCTTTGGGCCAGCCGCTTCACTCTTTCTGGGGTTACTTGTACTTGCCCTCTGCTCTTCCCCAGTAGCATATTGGACACCTTCCGACCTGAGGGGCTCATCTTCCGGCATCGTATCTTGTAGCCTTTTGTTACTGTCCATGGGGTTTTCTTGGCAAAGATACTGGAGTGGGTTGCCATTTCCTTCTCCAGTGGATCACACTTGGTCTGAGTTCTCTGCTGGGGCCTGTCCGTCCTGGGTGGCCCTCCACGGCATAACCCACAGCCTCATCGAACCATGCAAGCCCCCTCGCCATGTCAAGGCAGTGATCCATGAGGGAGAGTAATTCAGTACACACACACATAAACACACATAACTTTCCTATGCCCCATCGCTTTCTAGATTAAATGCCCCCTGCCTTTTATCCACTGTCTGTGTCCATTTCACCCCATAGCCTCCCAGATCTAAATTCCTGAATAATCCCATCTTTGAGTGTCGGGGCATCGTACATTTATTTTATTTATTTACTTGATTTATATCCCACTTTGTTCCCAATGGAGACTCAAAGTAGCTTACTTTGTTTCCCTCTCCTCTGTTTTATCCCCACAACGGCCCTGGACGGTAGATTAGGCTGAGTGTGTGACTGGTCCAAGGTTGCCCGGCAAGCTTCCATGGCACAGAGGGGATTCAAACCTGGGTTTCCCAGACACTAGCCTGAAACTTTAACTTCACCATGCTGGTTTCACTTCACTTTATCCTTGTAGTAGGCACGTTACAGAAAGGAAGGTCACAGCTACAATGAAACTATAAACAGAAAAACCAGGAAGCTGCCAAACGAAGCGCTACAATGCATATATATTGACACATAAGAATATAACCGTGTGACAAGATAGGTAAGTAGAAAAAGTCCTCGTTAAGGAGTCATAAGAAGACGCAGAAGTGTTGACAAAATTCCCCGGAGTTCATTTCCGTTTCATAGCTACTTCTTCTGAACACAGTCAAGTAGACCTTATAAAATTACATAATAATGGTATAAGTATAACAAGAGATTGTGTAATGTACCTTTAAATATTCTATTCAATAAAATCTTTTCATACATACAGAATTGTGTCTTCCGTTCATTCATTCATCACAGATTGCAAACATTCAGAAAGGCAATCAAAATAATCTAGAAAAAATACATACATAATGAAATTATATTCATCTATTTAAATCCATTAAACATGCGTTGCGCAAGGGAACAACTTACCCTAATCCATTATACATGGTAACTTTCAAAGACGGGCATGCTGATGAAGGTAGTAAAGCCTTAGCAGGTATTACTGATCCAAACCTTATAAATCGTTTCCATCCTAGCACTTAAAGGTAAAGTATCACTCACTACAAAGTTACCATGTATAATGGATTAGGGTAAGTTGTTCCCTTGCGCAACGCATGTTTAATGGATTTAAATAGATGAATATAATTTCATTATGTATGTATTTTTTCTAGATTATTTTGATTGCCTTTCTGAATGTTTGCAATCTGTGATGAATGAATGAACGGAAGACACAATTCTGTATGTATGAAAAGATTTTATTGAATAGAATATTTAAAGGTACATTGCACTTGTATATTTACACCATTATTATGTAATTTTATAAGGTCTACTTGACTGTGTTCAGAAGAAGTAACTACGAAACGGAAATGTACTCCGGGGAATTTCGTCAACACTTCTACGTCTTCTTATGACTCCTTAACGAGGACTTTTTGTATAATACTTACCTATCTTGTCACACGGTTATATTCTTATGTGTCAATATATATGCATTGTAGCACTTAGTTTGGCAGTTTCCTGGTTTTTCTGTTTCTAGTAGGCAGGTTATGCTGAGAAACAGTAATGTGCAGAGGTTACCAGAAAGTTTAGTGGCTGAGTAGGAACTGGAACCCAGATCTCCCCCATTCAAGCTCAGCATTCTTTTCCTTATGTTGCTGACAGTGCTCCTGATTCATGCTTAAAAGCCCTACATTTTGTATCTGTTTTGCTTCCTGGTACAAAATAATTAGTGGGGAAGGGAAAGTAGTGGGCAGGATAATTTAACCTTCTGCAAACAGCAGGAAAGAACAGACCTGGAGGTGACTGACTTTCTGAACAAAAAGGGGTCACACAGCTGCTGAGCTGCGGGTTCACCTTGGTGGAATTAGGCAATCCATGTGTCACATGGAGATAATGAACAGGAGGCACTGATAAAACTTTTACAGAGCTTTTGGTAAAAGCTCAGACAACTTCCCGTTCATTATTACTGACTTCTGTGGTGTAGTTAAGTTACTCTTTGTTACAGAAAACAGTCTTGGGGCACCTGAAATATGTAGTATATATTTCAATAAACCTTTCATTAAGGCACCCAAGGCTCCTTTCTACAGAAATACAGAGTATAATTGGTGGTCACTTTCCAACTCTCTATCTCCTCGGTATTTCTTTGTTGCAGGTGGGGTCGTGGCTTTGGCTTGGTGGCAGGCTTCTTGGGGTCCCACAGCCTGTTCAACCAACCTAACAGTATTTTTGGGATCGCCTTCTACATCCTGCAAATCCTTCTAGGTGAGCAATCTATATATATATATGAGAGAAAAACACATGTTCACATGTATCCTATCCAAAGTAATGCTCAACCTAAAACCCGTTCTTAGGTCTTCCTCTGTGGTAAAAAGGTGAGGTATTTTTACTCTTCTCGCTGCTCTAGATGGCCTGGTTGGATCTCCTAGGTTTGTCAGGTAGTTGTGGGAACACAGACGATTCAAGTGTGGAAACTTCCCTTCTCTGGGGAGTGTAAATCATTAGTAGGAGAGTGGGAAAGACAGAGATGAGGGGTGGCTTCTGGTTCTGTCTTTAATTCTTAGCTGCCATTTCTTCTGTAGCAGTTGTGAACGCCTGATAACCCAGCCTCCTTGTTCCTCACAGGCTTCTCCAACAGCGGCTTGGCGGTCATTGCTCTTCTAGGTTCCTCCCTTGTCTCCATCGCTGGCTCGCTCTACCTGGCCTACATCCTCTTCTTTGTGCTCCATGACTTCTGTGTGGTTTGTATCAGCACGTACCTCCTCAACTCGGTCCTGCTCTTCCTCAACTACAAGCGACATGGCTATCTCAACCAGGTCTGGCAGAACCACGCTCCCAAAGCCAAACGTCAATGAGGTGATGACCCCTCAGGCTGTTGGTGATCCTGTTGATGGTACAGCTTCACATGGACTTTGCTTACTCCTGCAATTTTTTTTATAACCATCATTGGTTTTGTATAACACTAGCATGCATCTCCAGTCTGGAAGTCCCTCATTCATCCCTCAGATCAGCGACTCAGTGTTTACCTTTCTGGTGGTCATGGCAGTCCATTCTCCATTTTGGGATTAAAATGGATGCCACCTTTGGTTGTGCTACCCTGCAGAAATGTCCATCAATCTTTTTTTTTAAGAAAAGCATTTTTAATGTCTATTTTCTTAGCTGATTCTTTCTTCCTTTACGTCGTTTTTATACAAAGCAATTTGTACAAATGTAGTTATTGCGAATAAACGTAACATGTTAAGCTATTGAAGTGTTTTTAATTGGGGTGATACACAGTTGAGCATAACTTGGTTGTTAGAGGACCACATAGTACAGGTTAAAGTGGAAATAATAGAAGACATTTTTAAATTGTAAGGTCCTTCGGGCAGAGACCACTCTTCTTGTATTCTGTAATCATGCACATTGTTGGTGCTGTATAAATAAATGGAAGTTCAACATTCAGACCTCGCCTCAGTCTGGCTTCATGATTTTCATCATCAATAACAGCTTTCAGTAAATTTCTGAAATCTATGTTAGTCAGGGTGAAGGCAACAGATTTTTAAAGGATAGCAAATTATTATTATCAGAGCTCCTAAAATTGCTTGGTGCTTTCTAAAAATTAAACATAAGCTCACAGGTTTTCAGTCTAAATCACTGGTTCTCAAACTTCATGTAGTGGATCCTGCTTCTAAATTTATTGTACTTTTCAGGATCCACTTTCAAAACAAAATTCTACACTACTTTCCTCCTCCATAACAAAACTCATGAATATTTCATCGGTTAGTGCTGAACAAGCTCACATTTTATTTTTAATGTTTATAAATTAATATGCAAGAGCTAGTCTGAGTTTTAGTGGTTAAAGTGTCGGACTAGGATCCACGAGACCCAGGTCCAAATTCCCACTCTGCCATAGAAGCTTGTTGCTGAGTGACCTTGGGCCAGCTGCACACTCTCTGCCTAGCCTACCTCACAGGGTGGTTGTGAGTGTAAAATGGGGGAGTTGAGGAAGATGTAAGCCACTTTGGTCTCCAAGGGGGTGAAACACAAGGTATAAATGAAGTAAAATTAAATATACAAGCGGGAGACCCATGAGGGGAAAAGAAATTGCATCAGTGGTGCTTGTCCCCTTTCCCTGTTTCTCTCCCCAACCCAGGCCCATCCACTGTCTGCTTTTGCTCCATTTTTATTTCTTCCCTTCCTCCAGAATGGCTTTGCTTCCTCCCTTCCCTTCTTGTCTTGCCTGCCCACTCCTTCCCCTCACCAGCTTAGCTCAAGTTCCAAAATGAAGCTGCAGCCCCCATTTTGGGTTACCTAGGTAACCGCACACAATATTATGGTGCCTGTGGTTGCCTAGGCAATCCAAAATGGCTGCTGGGATCACAACCTAATTTCACAAGAGCTCTGGATTTTAAACCTTTTAAAAAATTGTCTGTTTTATCCCTTCATTTTAATTTTTTTTTAAATTTCCTTAATCCATATCTGGACCCATTGCAGGGTTTGTTTGGGTTTTTTACCTGCACTCTAGGCCAAGTTCAGAATTAGATATAAGATCGCATTACTGAGCAACAGGCTGTGTTCCATGGCCATTTTCTGCCTGATGCAGAGGCAAACCCAAATTTGCTGTTGGGTCTCCTCTCTTACAACCCTGTTCTTTCTCCTTCCTCCTGTCTTTGTGACCCATCTCCAAGAAAGATATGCCCCACTTCTGGGTTTTAACAGTAAGTAGTATAAATCAGTTTACTGTAGACCTTTTACTATGCTGAGACAAGTTTTGAAGTTTCAGTGTTGGGCCATCCCTGGCCACAGCAGAAGATACCTAAGATACCTCCATATTTCATTTTTACACTTTGCATAGTTGCTACAATTCCTGTTGGAGAAAGTGAGGCCTTAAGCAGGTCTGTTTAGTAAATTACAGTTAATTTCTCCAGTGGGGAAAGTGCGTATGCTGTAATAACTGGCCTGGGGGACAAGCAACTTCCATTCACGTTCCTTTCAAGATGAAGTCATGTGTCCTGGCAGTCAAGGACCAGTAGGTGCTGCTGTGGAGCTGCCAGAACTGACTGCTAAAAAGCAAAAATATATATTTTATGATGAAGATGAGAAATATGTGTAATGTAGGAAGTGGGTCCTGGCCACCAGTTTTTTGGGGGGTTTTTTGGTGTTTTTTGTTAAGCAAAATTACAGTTGTACAACAAAGGAAAAACAGAACAGGCTGACAATATATAATTTACAATGCAGTTTGTAACTGATATGCTTAGAAAGCAGAAATATAATCACCTATTGTACAACAAAGTACTAAAAAGTGTGTCCGATTTTTTTTAGTTTTTAGTGTATCACAGCTTAAAGAACAGAAATTACCATAACAATAACAGATCAAACGTTGTAGAATGTGGTAGTGGTAAATTAATAAGTCTAAACATTTTGACAAGTGTCACTGAACACTCGTCATTCTAGCAGTTAACAGCTCTGATGCTTAGAGTAGAGGAAGAGATGTGAGTAGAGTGAAAACTGACCAAAGGGATTGTTAAAAAGACTAATCATGGAAACAAATCTTAGGAAAAATAACTAAATTTCATAACCACTGTTGGGACCACTCGGGAGATTACATCATTTTGTGAGAGAAAGTCAAGTATTGGATACCATTTCCTATCGAAAGAGGACTTGATAGGTTTCATTTGGGCCAAGTTTATTTTGTTGGTAACATATTCCATGAGATACTGATCCCATAACTTATGAAACTAAAACTCTAGATCAGGAGGTTTGGGATCTCTCCAGCATGAGACAATAGCTGTTCTAGCTGTAAAAAGCAGAGTGTCAATTGTCAATTTATAGTGGTGCGTGTTCTGGCCAGGAATCTAGAAAGAGTAAACCGGTTTAAAAGGAACTTTAATATCCGTAATCTTTTCAATATGTTGCAAGACTTCCTCCCAGAAGGCCCTGACTTTATCGCAGCGCCACCAGCAATGGGCAAATGTACCCACTTGCTGACAGCCCTTCCAACAATAGGAAGGTTTGGTGGGGTACAATGAGAGAAATCTTGTGAGAGGTGAGGGTGCCACCTGGTCATGAGTTTGAAGTTCTACTGCAACTTGTTGTTGTTCAGTCGCACAGTCGAGTCCGACTCTTCGCGACCCCATGGACCAGATCCCGCCAGGCCCTCCTGTCTTCCGCTGTCCTCTGAAGTTGGCTCAATTTCATGTTCGTTGCATCTATGACACTGTCCAACCATCTCATCCTTTGCCGTCCCCGTCTTCTTTGACCTTCAATCTTTCCCAGCATCAGGGTCTTCTCCAGTGAGTGCTCCCTTCTCATTGGGTGGCCAAAGTATTTCAGCTTCTACTGCAACTACAGAGGACTTATAATTAGATGAGTTCCATAATCCGGACCTGGCCACCAGTTAAAGAAATGTGAGTCTATTAGCCAAATGAATCTTAATTGATTCAATGTGCATATGAATAATAGCCCTGAAGAGTTGACAAAGGGAGTTTTGACTCTTAAAAACTTGTACTTCAAAAACCTTGATCGCTAAGGTGCTACTGGACTCAAATGTAGCCATGAAGAAGTTTAATCATTTTAAAAATGATGCACAGGTGTCTTCTATCTGGCACCATCTTAGAAAACTACCTTACAGGGTTGTTGTGAGGATAAAACAGGGAAGGGAGAATATGATATACCTGTCCTGATAATCTGTGGAGGCATGATGGAATAAGCTGCATGTTAGTTAGACAAGGTATTACCTCCTGAGCAATGCTCCCTCTAAGCTGTGGAGTCCTGTGAGCAAAGATTCCGCTTTGTGAGCTCCTGGCATTAAAGTTGTGAGCGAGCGATTTGGCCGCTGCATAAATTAGTTGGCTCTGGACCCATCCTTCCTGAGCTAAGAGAAGAATGTGTGAGCTGGAGGCTAAAGAACTGTGCGCTAGCTCACACTAACTCAGCTTAGAGGGAACACTGCTCCTGAGTGTGAGGGAAGGGGGAAAAATTAAGGTTCTGTTCATCACCCACAGAAGTCCCAGAATAATCAGATTCTGGGCAAGAGTTACAGATTATTTTAGATAAATTACAGGGTGTGAGTTGCCTTACATGTGGTTATCAGGAACTTTGAAAGATCCTTTTGTTGACTAAAAGTCAAAACTCTAGCTGGGGGGTGGGAGATCCCTTCTATACCACAAGCCAGTATGGTGTACTGGTCAGAGAGTCGGATTGGGACCTGGGAATTTTGAATCCTCCTGTTCCAGTGGCAGTCCTCCTGAGTCTACTCTTACCTCACAGGGTTGTTGTGACAATAAAATGGAGGAGGGAGAACAGTGTAAGCCAGAGCAGAAATATGTATGATAAATAAATAACAAGCATTAAACCCGAAAGGACCTGAAACAGCAGTAATTGTCTTCCTTAAGTTATTTGGGTTCTCTGTATCATCGGAAATGAGGATCCATGTTCTCCAGTTTGTCTCTTTAGGGTGCATTAGAAAGATAAAAGAATAACTGCTGGAAGAGGCGGGGGTGTCCAAATGAAGGGGTGTATCATGATTAACACATGGAATTCACTGCCGTAGGAGGTGGTGGCAGCTACAAGCATGGACAGCTTCAAAAGGGAATTAGATAAGCATATGGAGCAGAAGTCCATCAGTGGCTATTAGCTACAAGGTATAGATAGGAACTCTCAGGCTGGGGCAAGTGATGCTCTGTATTTTTGGTGCCTGGGGGGGGGCAACAGTGGGAGGGCTTCTAATGTCCTGGCCCCACTGCTGTACCTCCTGATGGCCCCTGGTATTTTTGGCCACTGTGTGACAGAGTGTTGGACTGGATGGGCCATTGGCCTGATCCAACATTGGCTTCTCTTATGTTCTTATGTCCATTGTCTTCTTCTCTGGGTGATGCACATACCAACTTCCCTTAGATCAGAGCGGTAGAGGTGGCTTCTTGGCTCACAAACATGGGTTGAGAGCATCAGGAACTTCCACTCTAGAGTTAGAGAGAGAGATAGCTTCTGCCTCTGAAGCAAGGAAGTCTTAGATCTTAAATGACATCTTTAGACTAACACATGTGGCCATCCATGCTCTAGGCTTTATGGTACCACAGACTTCTTTCTGCTTTTGCTACAATTAACACACCAGTCCCTCTGGCAACTATCTGGTGTTAAATGATGGGAACGATCAGGCCAGAACGAATGCCGATTTGTAGATTTTCCTTGTTGAAGTGTGTGCGAATTTTGGTCCCCAAGCAAAGGAATTGCTTTTGTCAATTTCACGTTCTGGGCTTCTTAGCTGTGCTTGCCAAGACACGAAAGACTCTGGTGCCAGTATAACTCTCATCTTGTTTTCCTCTCTGGGCAACAACGATTTTATGGCCATTACGAAGAACTGTTAAGGGAACCTGCTTCCAAAACTTCCAAATGCTGCCGTTCTGTTCTATAGTGAAGCCCTTGCCATGAAAACATTCTGCAGGACGTGCAAACCTAGCAATGCTGCTTTTTCTTAAGGCTTGAATAGTTCACAGAATCAAAGGCTTAACGCCATATTTTTTTGCGACCTGATCCTGTTGCGGGGTTAGGCATGCCTAGAAGTGCAGTCCCATATAGAGTTAGTCCCATCTAAGCCCAATGAAATCAATGGACTTCGCCAGGGGTAGGGATGCCAGCCTCCAGGTGGGACCTGGGGATCTCCAGGAATTACAGCTCCTCTCCAGACTACAGAGATCAGTTCCCCTGGAGAAAATGGATACTTTGGTGGGTGGACTCTATGGCACTGTACCCCACTGGAGTCTCTGTCCTCTCCAGGCTTCATCCCCAAATCTCCAGGAGTTTCCCCAGGCCCGTAGCTAACACGGGGGCCACGGGACCCGGAACCTAGCGTTTCTTCCAGGGGCCCTCTCTCCCGGGCTGGCCCCAAATTGAATTAATGTAATTAACTTTGATTTAATTAGCTGTGGCCTCCCCCAGGCCTCCTCCCAAAAAAATCCCTAGCCACAGGGCTGAGTTTTCCAACCTCGATCTGGCAACCCTACTGGTGGCCGGGGAGGACCTGGCATCACTAGACTGGGCTAACTGCACCAAGTAGCACTGTAAATCTATTAATTGGGTGCACCTAACCCTGCATAGGTTCAGATCGCACGGTGTGCCATAGCCCAGTGAAGTCAAAGGGTTTAGGGGCTCTTTGTAGCTTTGGGATTATATCTGTCTCTCTGCCAAGTGAGGGTAACACTTCATACAGCTGATGAAGGGGATGCAGGCTCAGAATAGGTACTATGGGGCTGTTTGTTATTTTGGTTGCAACAGTGCAGTCCTAAACAGGGTTACAGCCTTTTAAGCCCATCGGCTTCATTGGACTTAGAACAGTGTAGCTGCTTAGAACGGCACCACCCCGTGCCTCGCCTTCTGAGAGGTAAAAAGGTAAAGGTAAAGGTTCCCTTGCTCGAAAGCCAGTCGAGTCCGACTCTAGGGTTGCTGAGCTCATCTCCGTTTCCAAGCCGAAGAGCCAGCGCTGTCCGAAGACGTTTCCGTGGTCATGTGGCCGGCATGACTAAACACAAAGGCGCACGGAACGCTGTTACCTTCCCACCGAAGTGGCACCTATTTATCTCCTTGCAATTTCTTGCTTTCGAACTGCTAGGTTGGCAGGAGCTGGAACATGTCAAGAGGCTAAATGAGGACACAGTAGAAATGGGGGGGGAGGAGTTTTCTTTGTAAAATAAGTTCCTGGTTGCAGTGCAACACGTGACAAAAGTATGGGTGATTTAGTTGTTTGTATAGTCTTGTACAAATATTGTGCTCGGGATTGGTTTCCTTAGAGGACTGCTTCAGATGTGTACCTGGTCTCAGGGACTGAGGTGGATATGTGCCAAGGACTTGTGGCGCATATACTTGAGACCAGGGCTCTAGTGGGGGGGGAGCTCTCAGGTACGGAGCTCCGGAAGAGAACCTCTAGGGGGCGGGGCAGTCACGTGGTGAAGCCCCGCCCCCTTCTTTACCCCGCCCTCTGCTTCGATCCTCATTCCGTTTGGGAATGAGGATGAAGCAGGAGGGTAAGTAGCCGGGCCTTCTGACACACTTCCGGTGATGTCAGGGGGTGTGGCCTTCTGTCACTTCCGGTGATGTCAGGGGGCGTGGCATATGCAAATAAGTTATGCTAATGAGTTATGCTAATGAGCTCCGGCAGCTCTTTTTCTACAACAAGACCCCTGCTTGAGACATTAAAAAAAAACCCAGCCTTGTTTTACTATTAGTGCATTGTGAAATACACCATTTTCCAACATGGAAATTAAACTCTGTCTCATTGTCTGTACAGTTCCCTCTTTCCAGAAAGGGCACTTCCTATGCAATACGCTGCTTTCATGCTGTTCTTCTGCTTGGTCCCAGTTATGATACTCTGCTGGACTATGGTGACAATCCTCAGAACATTTTTCTGGGAATAAGCCCTGTGGAATAAAATGGGCCTTACCGCTGAGCAGACCCGTTTCTGCAGCCTGTATCTGACCAGAGTCAGTGCAGCAGTGCTCAAGCAAAAGAAGGGAGTGCCCTGATCTGGATAGCCCCAGGCTAGCCTGATCTTGCCAGATCTCGGAAGCTCAGCAGGGCCGACCCTGGAAAGTACTTGGATGGGAGACCTCCAAGGAATACCAGGATCGGGACGCAGAGGCAGGCAACAGAAAGCCATTTCTCTGAAACGTCCAAGCCCCATATTGTTGTTGTTCAGTCGCATAGTCGACTCTTTGCGACCCCATGGACCAGATCACGCCAGGCCCTCCTGTCTTCCATCGTGCTCCGGAGTTTGCTTAATTTCATGTTCGTTGCATCGAGAAGGAAATGGCAACCCACTCCAGTATCTTTGCCAAGAAAACCCCACAGACACTAGAATGGGGAAATCCTGGAAACAGGATGATTACACTATGATGTTCTGTGGAAGCGCCTCCCCCCCCCCCCCCCCAAAAAAAGTGAAATGGATGAACTGGGGTTTCATTGAGAGGTTTTGAGCTACCCTGAACAAAGTCTTGGGATTTCTTATTCATTTCTGATGCTGGCTTAGAAATATATGTATTATACCATATTGCATTGCTTTAAATTGTGTAATCCAACTGGAATCTCAGTGAGAAAGGTAGAGTATAAATGAAGTAAAAAATAAAATCCCCACTCATGAGTCATGACAGGTAGAGTTGCAGGTACCACCTGCAGTTCTCCCAGAATTAGAAGTGATCTCCTGACTACAGAACTCAGTTCCCCTGGAAATAATGACAATTTAAGTGGGAAAACTCTACGGGATCCCATAGATTCCAGGCGAATTCCCTCCCCAAATTCCTACTTCTATAGGCACACACACACCCATTTCCAGGAATTTCCACACTGGAGTTGGTAACGCTAAAGTGTTACTCGTTTATAGCAAAACTATTGAACTGTCTCTGTATTTTCTTAACTGTTTTTTTTTTAACTTTTGCATAATTAAAGTTCAAACAGTGCTTCCTGCATTTCACGATCCCTTGGCCCTGCTGATTCATTCTTTCATAAAAATGACCCCCTGCTGCGGGTTCACGCCATTAACTCTCCATGACAGCTTATGCAGAAATAAAATTTTGTCATTCTTCAAAATGCAGTAAGAGTCACGTTTGTTTTTACTGCACCGAACGTATCTCACCCTTCATTTCCAACACCCTCGTCCTCAAAGTAAAGCATTCAGTAGTTTAAGCCGTTAATTCCCCGAAGACTACATTTCCCATAGGTCTTGCTCCAGCGCTACTTCTTCTTCGCACGGTGCTTTCTGGGTTTGGAAGTTTTGAAAGTACCCTTCATGGTCGTACAAACACCTTCGTGGGACTACATTTCCCACGTAGCATTGCTGCCCGCTCCCACTGCAGATTGGCAGCCGCCCCCCTTTTTCTTCCCCCCGGAGAAGGGGACGGCTGGTTTAGTCCGGTCCTCAAGCGTACAAGCTGCAGCTGTGCTCGGCCCTGGAGGTAAGCGGCCTTAATGGAACGTACCATATGCTTGCTGGAAGAAGGGACCCCGTTTATTCTGAGTCGTTTGTTGTGCCGGAGGTTGAGAGCCGGGGATGAGATGCGAGGGGGCCCTAGATTCTCTTGAGGAGGAGCCAGAGCCTAGAGAAGAGGGAGCCAGGATGCTGGGGCTCCCTTCCTAACACTGGAGTGGGCAGGAGTGGGCAGAGCAGGGGATGCTGGGAGACAGGACTCCTGGGTTCCTTAGAAGAGCAAAAATGGTCGAGGGCTGAGGTGGTGCTGGGAACTGTGTTTCTTGCCTTGCTTACGTGCAATAGGGAGGAGACCAGAACATTGTGTTGTAATGGGTGGGGGAATGTGGGGAGTGTAGTGATTTGAAACATAACAGCAACCCCCTGGGAGACGCCTTGGAGTGAAGTATGCAGGCTGATCGCAATGACTCCTGGAATCTCTGCAGACCCACTGGGCCAAGAAGGCGGGGCTGTGAGCCAGAGCCCTTCCATTCAGTCCCCCTGCATCTCCCCCACCGTCAGATCTTAAATTGCAAGCCTTTTGGTGCAGCATCTTGCTGAGGTGCAAGACCTTGCAAAGCCCCGCGTACATTGATGAGGTCTGATTTAAAAATCATGTCTCAGTAACAGAGGGGAGAGGCGTGAATGAGAGGGACTCCCAGCAGGAGCCCAGGAGTTGAAACCAAGGGCAGTGCCAGGCTAAAGATATGTAGACGGCACTGTCTAAAACGTGAAACTACTGTTTAGAAAGGCCCCATATGCCAGATCAGCTGTTGAGCCTCCTAACTTAAACACATTGCGCAAGAGTATTGCTTAAGAATAGCCAAATTAGCACACTGGTTTTCAAACTGTTGTGGGGAACCTGGTGGAGGTTCCGAATGGAGGAATTGTAATCAGTGTTCCCTCTAAGCTGAGTTAGTGTGAGCTAGCCCGCAGTTTTTTAACCTCCGGCTCATGCATTTTTGTCTTAGCTCAGGAAGGATGGTTCCAGAGCAAACTAATGTATGCAGGAGCCAAATTGCTCACTCACAACTTTAATGCCAGTAGCTCACCAAGTAGAATTTTTGCGCACAAGACTCCACAGCTTAGAGGGAACATTGATTGTAATGGTAAGATCCATTGTTCAGGACAACTGGAGGTTTCCTAAAACGTGCAGGCATGAGGAAGAGCTGGCTCTGTTTATGCAAGGCTTGGCCAGTGCCCTGTATGGACTGTGCACCCTGGTGCGTCTTCCTACCCCCACCCCAGGAATCCTTTGCCGTGCCCTGAGGTTCCTTGGCAGATGAGTCAACATGGGCTTCCTTAGGATGGAAAGTCGTTGAAAACAATCCATTTGCAGGCCCTGGGACTAAGCCCTCCCCTGTTTCACAGAGATAACGTCTCTGTTTCAGTTCCTACCCATTTTTAAAGGCAGGGAATAAGTGACGGTTTTCAAAGGCTTGGCATGGAAATGAGAGGACGGTTTTAAAGCGCTCTTTGTATTGTAAGTGCTCACTTATTAAGCCATAACCAACATGTAAACCGGCTGCTTCTTAATCTGTGAGTGAAGTTTGACTGTTAAGTCTTACTTTTAAAAAGCAGCCTACATTGTACAGTTGCTTGTTCCAGGTTTTGAGAAACAGAGGGATCAGCTCAGCTGAGGGTTGTTGTTCATGGGGCTTTGTGGTCTTTGGAGGGGGAAATTTCTATGCTGGATCAGCTCTGAGGTACACCCACAATGATCAGCTGGGTGCCACAAAGGGACTTCAGAAACAAAACAAAATGGCGGCCCCTCTTCTTTAGACTGGTAATCTGAAAGACACTGCAAATATTAATAGTAACAAAAATGTGGTATCGTCTTAAGTATACCCAGTAAATAGCACTTACGCAGTGTTTTTCATGACTTGTATTCAAAATGCTTCATATAAATTGTCTCACGAGCTCTAGATATGTTTGGTAGGTTTGCATACCTCATTCATGGCTAAGCCAGGATTTGAACTTCCTTGGCTAACAGCTTATCCTCTAAGCCTGCCCTCTTCCGTATCCTAATCACCTTCATCGCAAGCATTTAGTGGCTGGCACTAAGCTGTGGCTTGTATTATCAAGCAGTTTTGTTCTCAAGTGTGTCTTCGGACATAGCGATTGTTTTACAAGATGCAGGAAGCTAAATAAAAATGACAGACTACAACTGAGATTGTTGCCTCTTTGAACCTCTGAGTGGAAGGCAGATAGAAATATTGAAACGCTGAAACTTTAAAATAATCCCTTCTCCCCCCTCTGTGGCAGTCACAGATGTGGGTGTGGAGGGAGAGTGATAAGGAGCAAACCTTCAAGCTCTGCTGAGGGATCTCCCAGAGCATCTGGTTGGCCATTGGGTCTGATCCATCTTGGCTTGCTGATTTGTTCCTAAGGCTTTGTAAACAAAAGGCGGGAGACTTTGTCTGAAGGAACTGGGAGGTACAAAATATGCGGGGGGGGGGACAATAAAAACGAAAAGCATCCCACCTCCATTACTGTCCAGACTGAACCGAAGCCTCATGCGGTCTGTTTCCATGTGTCTGGCCTGGCTCCATTGGGTTCCCAGGGTGACCAGCCTCTTGGAATTTTCCACCCAGTCCCAATTCCTTTGGAGCAGTATTGCCAACTGCAGGGAGGGAAATGTCCTGACCCTTTAACAGAAGCTTAATGTTTGGAAATGGGCAGTTGAGCCTTTTAATGGCATGAAGCTAATAACATCTTGTTAAGGGGAGCAGAGTATTGTTGTTGTTTTCCCCTCCAGGCAACTGGCAAACTGAGTTTGATGTTTGTGTAGCCTCTTCACCCAGATTTCCTTTACCTGATCGGCTTTCCTTGATGCCTTAGGGTTGCCAGGTTCTCCCTGGCCATTGGGGGGAAGGATGGGGGGGGTAGGGTGCCAGATCCAGGTTGGGAAACTCCTGAAGATTTGGGGATGGAGCCTGGGGAGGACAGGGACCTCCGTGTGGTGCAGTGCCATAGAGTCTCCCCTCCAAAGCATCCATTTTCTTCAAAGGAGCTGATTTCTGTAGTCTAGCTGTCATTCCAGGGGCTCCCCAGGTCCCACCTGCAGGCTGGCATCCCGAGTTACAGTCAGCATTGAAAAGGATAAAAAAAAGCTTTAATCTAGGGTTACATTTCTCTAAGTAAGCAGGCAGTGCTGTATTTTCTCTGGGAATGCAAACAAACCTTTATAGTATAATGTAGAAGGGGTAGGAGGCAGAATCCCTGAAGGCTGGACATGGTTAATAGTCAGACTTTGGGCACGTGAACACGGAAGTCAGTCCCACCGACTGCCACGAGGTTTACTTCCAAGTTAAGCGTGCGCAGGATGGCACCTGTAATCCCGGATCGGAATCCATTTTTTAAAAATGTGCTTTTCCAAAACAAAACATTTGCGATTCCGCTCTGCTCTGAAATGTGTGTTTTTCCAGCTGCTTTTGGCTGCCGCCTGCCAGTCCGAGTCATAACTTGAGCGGCTTTTCTTTTCCGCATGTGCAGCTGTGTTAACCGTTGATTGGCTGCAGTCGAGTAAGGAGGATGAAGGCAGGCCAAGATTTCGGGGTGCAGAAACTAAGGTGGGATTGGCACCCAACTGTATCGGGTCTGCTGAGAGGTTGCTGAATGTTCTGGAGTCACCCGGGCCTGTTCTCCAAGTTCCTTGCTGGTTCTGCTCCAGGCTCCCCCCCCCCCTCTCTGCCAGTCTCAGCCACTGGAGGTGAAATGAGGTCGCTGGCTTAGGGAGGGGCCGGCTCCTCTGTGCACAGGCTTTGCCAACAGCCGGAAGGCTCTGTTGATAGTAGCCAGAGCCGTGGCGTTTGCGCCTTTGCTGGACTGGCTCTGTTGAATCTGCTGAGCTGCGTGGAAAGGGACTCTGCACTGCCTGGATAGGAGGTGAGTGAATGCGTTTGGGGCCTCCTGGAGACCGCACTGACCTCCCCGATACCCCGGAGCCAAGGCTGAACTGCGTGTACTCAGCTTCTAGTGGAGTGTCCTGCCTTCTGCTTTTCACCAAGCCACCAGGCCTCGCTCTGCTATTAGGACTAGAAATAGAACCCAGGTGCCCTGCTGCTTCTCGTTTTGACCCCCAGAGAACCCCGGAGTTTGGGTTCTTGGGGGCCAGCCCTTAACTCGCTAGGCCGTTCTGGTTTGGCATAGAACCTGGGCTGCCCAGTTTAACCTTTGTGGTTAACTGCAGGGGAACCCGCAGGTGCTTGGTCATGGCATCATATGTGCTTAACTAACCCTTTGGCCTCTTGGCCTCTCCGTCCTCCCAGCTGGGAATAGATCTTAAATGTTCGGGCTGCTGGTGCCTGGTTCTCCCTCAGGTAGTAAATCTACATCTGGGCTCCATTCCACTGCACTGAGAGGGGAAGGGGATTTGCACGACAGAATGCTCCTCTGTACAAACCTAAATAGCCTGAATGTACAAAATTGGTGTACCCTGCTAGGCTAGAGCCTCTCTTCTTTCATTTTTGTTTCCGGGCAGAAAGGGAGAGGGGATAGAGATTTTTGCACTAAATTTCTACAAAGCAAAAAAGGGGAAAACAAATTTCAACCTGAAATATGCTAAAGATGCTACAAGGGTTATTTTGATAAAATATTATCAAAATAAATATTATATGGTGTACACAATAGTAAAATTAAAAACATAAGACCTGAATATCTGATTGCATTAAGAGTCAGAGCAAGCTTTGCATAAGCTGTAATAATTTCCCAAACACGCTTGATAAGAACATAAGAGACGCCAATGTTGGATCAGGCCAAAGGCCCATCCAGTCCAACACTCTGTGTCACACAGTGGCCAGAAATACCAGTGCCATCAGGACCAGTCCAGCAGTGGGGCCAGGACATTAAAAGCCCTCCCACTGTTGACCCCCCCCCAAGCACCAAGAAGACAGAGCATCACTTGCCCCAGAGCCCCTAGCTATACCTTGTGGCCACTGATGGACCTCTGCTCCATATGCTTATCTAATTCCCTTTTGAAGCCGTCCATGCTTGTAGCACCCACCACTTCCTGTGGCAGTGAATTCCATGTGTTAATCACTCTTTGGGTGAAGAAGTACTTCCTTTTATCCGTTCTAACCCGACCGCTCTGCAGTTTCATGGAGTGCCCACGAGTTCTTGTATTGTGAGAAAGGGAGAAAAGTACCTCTTTCTCTACCTGCTCTTTCCCATGCATAATCTTATAAACCTCAATCATGTCACCCCTCAGTCGTCATTTCTCCAA